ACCTATACCCCCTACGTCGTAGGCCTTCGACCGTACCCACCGACTCGGAATGAGCATCAAAAATGGTGGAGGGAGAGATGAAAAGCCTCACACACCATAAAACCCCCCAAAATGCATCAGAAGAAAAACCACAAAAAAATGCACCTTTTTTTAGCCGAAAAATCTCGGATCTGGTGCTAAAGTGATCTTGATGCCAAGAACAATCTCACTGTCAGATGATTCCTGCAACCAGTCACAAAATTATGGACAGATAGAGAGAAGTTAGATATCAAAATGTTCAAAGAGAGATTTAAAGCGAGACTTTATTTAAGAGAGAGAACCTCCGAGACTTTGTTAGGGAGAGAGCCTCAGGAATCAGGATGCATTTTCTATGAGGCCGAGGCCTTATGAAATAAATAAATAAAGCCTCAAAAATAAGTTATTTATAAGGTTGCAACCTTAAACAATCCAATTAAGACGCATCTTAAAATTTTATCATATGTAATTTTATTGTAAAAAATTCTTAGTATTATCTTAAAATCTATTTTCGTACCTAATTAAAAAATATTAAAATAAAAAAATGGTAAAAATCAAGTAGATCTACAAACTTATGAAAATCTTGAAAATGAACGTTCTACATAATGTGCTGCAAGATGCACTATTTCGGGGACTCAAAAAACTAAATTTATATGTTTATAGATCTAATTGATTTTAAATATTTTTTAAATTTTAAATTTTGTAATTAAGTGTGAAAATAGATTTTGAGATAATCATAAGAATTGTTTTTTACCAAAATTACATGTTATAAAATTTGGGGGTGCGCCTTGATTGGATTGTTTAAGGTTGTAACCTTATAGAAACCACACCCATTATTTATAGCTCGAAAAAAATGATACAAGTAATGTGGATCTACAAACATTTAAAGAATGGACGGTCAAGATAATAAGATAATGCATTACACTATAATTTTCTTAGGACTTGAAATCCTAGTTTTTTTTTTGAAATCATAATGATCTAGATCGAGATGATCGATACGAAGGTTCTCCGACACTTGAACTATAATTATTTATTTTAATTTTTCCACTCATCAAATTATGAATTCAATAGTTGAGTTGGCTGCACGTAGCTTGGTCGTTCATATTAAGGGTATAGTTATATAATCGCAATTACATAAATTAATTGAGTAGACTCACTCATCAATAATAATAAATTATATAATTTACCTTTTTAATAATGTATTATTAAATAATTACATAGTATTATCAATTCATTATGAATATTTCAAATAAATATACTTATTCTATTTTGATCGTATAGTGATAAATATATAAATTGATAGCACTTGTCAAATTCACTAGGATGTGTGACTTCAAACAAAAAAATAAGTTAATTATAGCAATATTGACACCAAAAAAATTTGAAGAGCGTCAAAAGGATAAGTATTGCATTTATTTATGTCATTTTCCATTTAGCCTAATAGTACTTTAAATTTATTGAATTAGTAAATTTATTTTTTATGTGATTCAAAATGAAGCAGTATATTGTTGGGCTTGAATAATTTGTGACATTAATCGTTTATTTGGAAAAAGGGGCTTATTGATTTATTTATTTATTTTTGAATGGCATGAATATTTGGGTAAATATGACTACTAACCGACAAAAAAGGTAATTTATATTTTTTTGTATGTAGACTTTTTTATCAATTCCAAATTCCTATACACCAAGGTACTAGATTTAGAATAAAAATAAGGGGTTTGCTTAGAATGATTATAGTAAAAAAATTAACAGTTTTGCTCTGATTTATTATAATATTTCTATTATTTGCTAATGGATTTGCAAGGGCAACATTAGGTATGTCACTCTTTCTTTTGAAGTCTCATTTTTGTAAATTCACATGTAATTGTTAATATTTATTTAGGGATTTTATAGAATGAGACCACTTACATTTGGAATAGAGAGATTGCAATTACTTACAACTATCTGATGTGAAATCTGATAGCTTGGATATGTCACAAAGTTCGAGAAAAATTTATTTTGAACTTTGAGCTTGGTCGATAAAATAAATGTAGCCACCTAATTTCACATCAAATTGTCAATATTAATTGTGACAACCATGTAGAAAAAGTAAATGGGCTCATTTTATACTTTCCCATTTATTTATTTTATTTTATTTTTCCCATCGAATTATGGATTCGATAGTTGGGGTTGGTTACACGAAGCCTGGTCTTCCATTCTGCTCTATTAAAAGTATAATTATATTTTCTTTTGAAATCTCATTTTTGTAAATCCACATGTAAGTACTAATATTTATTTCTTTTTATTTAATTCTACCCATCAAATTATGGATTTGATAGTTGGGGTTGGCTATACGAAGCCTGGTCCTCGATTCAACTCTATTAAAGCCATGGTTAATTGAATAATACCACTCATCAATACTAATAAATTATATAACTTATTATTAAATAATTACATAATATTATAAATCAATTATCAATATTTTAATTAAATATTACTTATTCTATTATGATCGTATAGGGATAAATAACATAACTTTTATATTTATATATTTTATCTCAACTAATAGTATCCGTAAAAAGTAGTTAACACAAATATAATTAATCATTCTCATTCTATTAAAAACAACATAATAATTGAATGATACCTTTTCGAGAATGTTATTTCAAAATAAAAATTTATTCAATTATAACTATATCAAATCACGTGCAACGCACGTGCATAATACTAAAATATAGTATATATGACCCCTAATCTCAGCCATCGGATCTAAGTAGATGGCTAAGATGGCTTAAGTCATAATGTCACAAATTGGTTTTTAACCGTCAGATCTTGATCAGATGTATCATAGTTTTTTAGTTTATATATCATTTTAAAACAAAATGTGAGGAATGCATAGATGTGAAAGGGGCGCACATGATAAAAAATAATAATAAAATATTGTTAGTGATAAAAATTACCAGAATATCCCGAAAAATGTAGGGGCATTTTGGTTATTTATTTGTAAGGAAAATATTTATTTTTTATTTTCCCAGGTTCATCCTAATTTATTATGGGATGCCGAAAATTTCATCTAAAAATATTTGTAGAAAAAAATGAAAAATAAAACAGTGTTTGAAGGGTATGAACTAGTGGTTTAAAAAACGGATCGGTGGCCCGGATCGGGCACCTCAAAAACCCATCCGGATCGGTGAATCGACGATCCGGATCGGAAATCAGCCGAATAGATCGGATTAAGCCTTACAAAAAATCCAAAAATTTTATTAAAATTCATTATAAATGTTGTTTTTTAGGAATCCAACACGAAATCGAGGTACTACATTATTAATTTTCATTTTTTTTCATCAATATACGAATATTGAGATGTTCTTTTCCTGTATGAACTTATTTAAACCATTAAATTACATCACACAAAATAAAAATCATGGAATTACCATGGATGAAGTATATAATCATACATGGACTACAATAAAAAATGGTTTTTTGACAATAACATTTTAGTTTTTTTGACAAAAACTTTTTATTTTTTTACAATAAATGTTTGTCGTATTGCATTTTTTTTTTTTAGCAATAACCTTTTTTTTTTAACAAACAATACTTGTTGTATTACCTTTTTTTTTTTTGGATAAGAACTTTTTATTTATTTTTGACAATAACATTTTATTACTTTTTATTTTTTTGACAAGAAGAATAAATTTGACAGTAAAAGGAATTGATAAGAACCTCTCTTTTCTTTTCATTTTTTTACAATAAACTTTTTATTTTTTTGATAAGAAAACAAATTTGACAAAAAGTAAAATTGACAAGAACCTTTCATTTTTTCTTTTTACAATAAACCTTTTATATTTTTTATAAGAAAAAAATTGACAAAAAAGGAAAAAAACAATATTTCCAAAATTCAAGACAGCCACCCCATCCATATGAGGATTCAAACCAACGACCTCCACGCAATGCAGTGACGTGATAACCGCCATGCAAAATGGTGATATCAATAGTACAAAAAAAATTCTATAATATATAAACGTTTCAAGCTATTACCTTTTCATAATATTCCACATCGAAAATGTGGAAGAAAACCCAAGTGAATAAATGTTTATTCTCTAGAACCGAGCATTTCATGGTCATTTAATGGTATTGACACGGGGGAACCGATTCCCGTGTCGACTCGGGCAAGTCTGATACTACTCGTCGATTTTACAATCTTACTCTTAAAAGAATCGGCACTTCATGACGTCATAAAGCGAAGAACCGGATTCATAACGTCATGCGGTACGATTTGTTCTTCTTCTCTAGAACCGGGCATTTCAGCGTCTTTTAGTGAAATCGACATAGGGGGAACGTTTTTCGTGTCGACTCGGGAGAGTCCAATGCGACTTGCCGATTTTTCACTCATTAGTATGAAACATCATTATCGTTCGATTCAGATCAAATGACCAAAAAGTGAGTCACATATAACTTATATATTATTGGGGCTAGATAAAAACATTTCCCACCTTTAAATGGACCATCTCAACTTCAACTTTAAACTTTAACATTATGGTTATAAAAGAAATTAGGAATTTAAGTTCTAAAAATATTGTATATTACAACAAATAATCTAGACCATTCATTTTATCTTTATTTGGTAAGATCTGTACCATTTAATGAGTTTCAAATCTCATTATTAGTGCTGAAAATTGATTTTAGAGTCATTATGAAGAACCCAAATTACCAAAGTGCCTTTGGATGAAGATTTGAGGGGAGGCCTTATTTTGTTTTCATAAAGCCTAGGGCGTGTGAAACTTCATCCTTTAAATAATGCCCTTGGCATTAAATTGGCGAAACGAACCTGGCTGAGCTTATTTTTTTTCCCTCCTCTTTTATTTTGAGAGCGCAATATAGAGCGAGCTGCAGAGATTTACTTCGATTTTTCATGGCGTTTGAGAGTTTCGGTGCGAACCCTGGCCCCCTTGGTCCATCCCGAGCTAACCCTTTTAGCCACTCATCTCATGAAAACCAGAGGTATGATTATTCTCACAAAACTTTTCCCCCTTTTTTCCCCATTTTTATGGGTTTTTTCTGGTGGTACTGTGGTTCTAATTTCTAAATGCTACTTTTGCGTATTTTTGGCTACTAAATCAAGGATTGAATCAAAATAATTTGTTTCTTTTTGGCACAGTGCGGCTTAATTTGATCATTTATGTATGCCCATCTACTGATTCCATTCTTGATGCAAATTTCGAATGTACAATGAATTGTTATCTTTTCTTGGTGTATTTGAATAGACCAATGTTTTTTTTTATATTGATAAACCGTCTATTTCAGTGAATTTAGCAAATTATGAATATAAGTGTCGCGGTTCTGTCAGTCGTAAAAAATAATTCACCCTGCTTTTGTGCCCAGTTGTTCTTTTTTCTTTCAGATATATTCTATTCGTTATTCGAATGTGAGTGCTTTCCTTTTGGGTTTTAAGTGTTTGGATGAATGACACAAATGGGTGGCAAAATTCTTTTAAGTAGTAAAATCATTTGTATATTGTCAAACATATGGATGTTAAGAGTGATATTTTCGATCTTCTTTTAGTTGTCTTTTTTTTTATTATACATATATATCTTTAAATTTGCAGACATGCCATAAATTATTCCCTTCTCTGTTTCTTTTTCTGGTTGAGAAAGATTTATATTTATTTTTGGTCTACGTTTCTAAAATTTTATCTAGCCAATATTCTGTTTCATTATTCATTAACAGGTTATGGTCAATCTTGTTTTAAAAATGATGTATATCTCTCATTGATCAAGAACAATGTCACATCTCTACTTTCTTTTTGTCACTCATTTTTGTTGTGATGGTCATTGCTATTTCTCATTAATCAAGAACTATGTCACATCTCTACTTATTTGATTCTTTATCATCAGTTTTGTTGCGATTCTTTTTACTATTTTCACTTCTAGCTTTTAAGAGGAATGAGGTGCATTGTAACTTTTGTATTGGCCTAAATGATGGCTAGACCGCTAGAGATTGCTAGTGTCTGAGTAGAGTAGTCTCAAGCCTGTACTCAAATAGCTAGAGTTTTGTGACATTTTTAGTTCTTTCACATACTTGTGCATTTGATGCGATTCTTTTATGTATTTATACTTGTACATAAAAAAAACATTTATGGTAGCAGTCACCCTGTATTTAATTGGTAAAATATCTAGTTATTTTTCTGATATAGAATGGAGCAGATAGCCATCCATTGTTGGGCTTTTGTCAAGGAAGGGATGAATTAACATTTACCTTGGGATTTTTTTGGTTTGATATGTTACTGTAATGTTTCCCCATGGTTGTTGAGACATACTGTAACCATTAAAAAAATGGGGGAAAACCGAAGTGTTATACCCTTACGTATGTGCCCTGCAGATGATAAATGTGCTTGATATAATAAATTTTTGTTGTCCTCGTGGTGTATATTCTATCATGTTCTTTATCATTTATTCTTCTATCCATGAAGTTATGGTGTGGACTTTCCATCCAGGGATGATCCTATTTATGCTCCAAAGAGGTCTCGGTCGCCTCCTCTACCTCATGAAACTGATAAATGCTTTAGTAATCATCAGTTGCCTTCTGAAGAAGTTGTGAGGTATGTGCAATGGCTCTTTGTTCTCATTGTTTATTTGATGTCACAAAGACTTATGTTCATTCTTCTACTTATATGGGGGTCGAGCCTGTTGGCACAAGTTTGGTTTAGGTTATGCCTATTAATATAATTCAAAATAATATTTTAGATCAAGGCATGCATCTTTAAACATGATTTCCATTTTGGATTGATTTAAGTCATGCATACAGATACTGTTAGTACTGCAGCGATAATGCAAATGCACAAAAATAAGCATGTTATACACAATTAAATGGACAATATCTACAAAATTCACTATCTTTTTCTTGGCAGTTTGCAAGAAACCATACAAATCTTATAAGTTATAACTATACAGTTGTTTCTGTTATCATTTATCCATTTGTTATTGGACTTAATTGGGTTGCTGCAGCGCTGCTATCCCTATCTCTGTTGCTAAATATATGATCAAGTGAACCTAGTTGTCTTCTTTTTTCTTAATGTTTTTACTTTCACTATTCAGTCCTGCTCCATCAAATGGAAATCAGCTGAAGCCTTCATTAATCGATACCAGTCCACAAGCTCAACGCAAATCAACATCTCCTTGTGGGCATCACAATGATGCATGGTATAGTGGAACCAAGTCTCCACCTTTGGCTGCTGGATTTCAAGCTTCCAAAAGGACCAGATCACCTTCTAATCCTCATGAGGATGGTTACTTCATGCCCAATTCTCGTTCTACTAGCAATGAGATGGAAAGTTAAGTTTCTAATAGGAATTTTTCTCCTAATAATTATTTATAGTTTGCTGAATTTTTTGAACTGCTGCCAATCCAATAAAATTTATTTTCAACTGCTTTCTTGAGTGCAGGGAACTGCAAGCAAAAGCTAGGCGGCTTGATCGTTTTAAAGACGAACTAAAAGAGAACATAGAATATAGTCCTGATTTTTCAACCCCTAGAACTATAGGAAATAAAGCTCTATCAAATTCAAGAGAGAAATCTAGGCCAATTACAGGGACTATTTCCCCCTTATCTGATCCGGGGGGCATGGAAACTACTTTTGATGGAGAAGTTGAACCATCCTGTGTTGTAGCTGGGCTTTGTCCTGATATGTGTCCAGGTATGTTATTTTATCTGTGTGTGTGCACGTTGTGCATGCTTGCTAAACATACCTCATTTCTGATTGGTGAACTACTGTTATATCATTGATTTAGTTATAATTCCAAATGGGTATGGTTCCAAACTTATCACTGAATTAACCTTGGTTTTCGTAAACCTGCAAATTCGAGGTATGATAGTGGAGTAGGGTGAGATGGTCAGTGTTCATCTCTCATCCACTTTCTCCCTACTAGGGGTAAATGGCATTAATGTCAAGGTAGTTTTATCATTTAGAGAAAAGTCTGTTTCTCCATTTCTCCAATAGAATTCTTTTTGAAACCAGCATTATGTTATAACTTCTTTAACGTCCCATAATTTGTTATGCCTTCTCTTCTCTCGGTTCGAGTAGCTTGAAATCTTCTCTTTTTTGTTCATGTGTTTTTTCCATAAGTTTTATTTTCTGGAAAAGCTTGGGTAGTGTTTTCACGTACAGGAAGTCTGTGATTATAGATATTTGCAATTTGGGAAAGAATCAGGTAGTTTCGATCCTTTGAGTAAAGATGAAATGGGAGTTTCTCCATTTCACCAGAGCTGATGAAAATCTCTAGAACTCTTTTGAAATCATTTTGTAATTTTTTAATGTCTTGTCTTTGTTATGCCTTCTTGCCTTCATAGCCTGAGTAAATTGAAATGCTTATCTTCTCTTCCACTGCCTGCTTTTCTTTATTGGTTGCAGTCGAATGCTTAGCAAGTTGGAAGAGTATACATAATTCAATGCAACATAGCATGCACTACTTGGAAGGCATATCCACCATCCATCCTTGATGATGTATGGTGGATATTAGCTCCACCCATGTGTCTGTCCCAATGGGTTCTACTATGGCTAAACTTGAGCTTCCATTCGACATGTTTGATGTAGATGCCGCGTTGGAGTATTGTAGACCATACTCCATTCATTATCATTTAATTCCTTTACTACTATGTTATTGCTATTTCTTTTTTCTTGGAATGTATTCTGTTTGATAATTTTGCCTTATGTGGTGGTTTCTTTTTTCCCTCTTTTATCAGAACCCGAAAGGGAAGAGCGTGGGCGCAAAGGTGATCTTGACAAGTATGAACGTCTCAACGAAGATAGAAACCAAACATCCAAATTTTTGGCTGTGAAAAAGGTCTGCTTTTGACCAACTTGCAGGATTTTATACTATGATCTGTTGGACCATGAAAAACCATTGTCAGTTGTTGTCATCTTTTTCCAGTGAAAATGATTGGCAGATGTAGAGAGTGGGACTCAACAATAGGGTCCTGTCATGTTCTGATGGTCCCACGCTCTCGAATACTGTCCATTTTTTAGTATACTTTCATTTGATTAATGTTGAACGGAAAACATCATTAATATTCTTTTTCTGGTAAGTTCAGTATACTAGGACAGCCGACAGAGAAGCTCACTTGATACGACCCATGCCAGTCTTGCAGAAGACTGTAAATTATCTTCTAAATTTGCTCAATCAGCCTTATGATGACCAGTTGTTGGGCCTGTATAACTTCTTGTGGGATAGGATGAGAGCAATCCGAATGGACCTAAGGATGCAACACATCTTCAACCGAGATGCAATCTTAATGCAGGAACAAATGGTCTCTCTCTCTCTCTCTCTCTCTCCTCTCCCAACCCCCTACTAAAAAAAAAGGTTTCTGCGTTTACCAGATTACTATAGTTTATCAATGTGAGACATGATGACCATAGTTTATAGTGATGCATTTTGTATATTGGCCACAACGATTCAACAATTTTATGCCTGCTTGTGCCAGATAAGGTTTCATATTATAGCCATGCACGAGCTGTGTGAGTATACAAAGGGAGAGGGATTCTCTGAGGGCTTTGATGCACATCTCAATATTGAACAAATGAACAAGACATCGGTGGAGCTGTTTCAAATGTATGACGACCATAGAAAGAAAGGAAATAGTGTGCCTACTGAGAAGGAGTTCAGGGGCTATTATGCTCTTCTTAAGCTAGACAAGCACCCAGGCTACAAGGTAATTTATCTTAGGAAAGTACACGATAATGCAGTATGGTGTATGGTTCTCCTTAGGCTTCTATTGTCTGTTCTCCAGACAGTTTATGGCTCTGTTCTATTTTTATCATACTATGCTCAATTATGGTATATTTTTCTGGAGTAATTGTAAGATTCGTACTTGAATATTGGTTTGATGGTTTTATGTTGTCATGTTGGTATCTCTTTGTTAGGTGGAGCCTGCAGAACTCTCCCTTGATCTAGCAAAGATGACTCCTGAAATAAGAAATTCGTCTGAAGTCTTGTTTGCTCGTGCTGTTGCAAGGTGTTCTTCTTTTATTTCTTCATTGTTGAAGATATTTTGGGAATGCTGATGCATTTTAGCTATATGGTTTCAGAGCTTGCCGGACGGGTAACTTTATCGCCTTCTTCCGACTTGCTAGAAAGGCAACTTACTTGCAAGCATGCTTGATGCATGCTCACTTTGCCAAGGTATATTATATTCTTCCAAATTACTTTGCATAGATGAATGAGTAATATGCTCACGAGTACATCGTGTGATGCCTAATTGTGCTTGGGTTGGCGAATAGGAGTCATCATTTTCGTAATTCGTACGTATCACTATGATCAGCCTGCTTTCGCTGTAAAACAGAAATTGATGAAATCTGAAAACTTCATTTTAATCGTCTGATAAAAGATTGGCACATGCATTTTATAAGCAAAGGCTTACTCATTTGTATATTTTCTACTTCACAATTGAACTCTTGAAGTCTTAGTGTATTTTTGAGCCCGAGTTTAAAAGAAATTATCAAACAATATTTCAACAACTGGGTTCCTTTGAACAAAAAAGTGTTTCCTCAGTAATGGCCAGCCTATTACCCTTGACGAAAAATTTCTTGGAAACATTCCAATCAGGAGTACAAGATGTAAAGGCTGCAATTATTTTGAATATGAAAATGAAAGGCATGCTATTCTTTCCCTTTCTCCTTACATATTCCGGGATCATGAAGCCAGATATTTAATCCCTGACAAATCCCTTGAGCAACACTTCCATTCCCATGAAATTAGAGGATCATTAGCATGGAAAGGTGATATGTTTCCGACTGATGAAATAGTGCAATGGGGAAGAAGTTTCTATGATTTGTATCGAAGAGATAGTTATTAAAAACTGGTCCACATAGAAGAAACAAACCACTGTAACTGTTATATCCCTGTTTTTAGGCCCATTCATCTAATTCCTATTGTTATCCACAAAGAAATTGAAATAGATGAGTGGGACCATCTCAAGCTTCGACCTTCAGTAGAAGAAAAGATTCTTATTGAAGAATGGCAGGGTGATAATGAGGTTGATGAGGAGGTAGGATAGTCCCAACCTCCTACTTTTTATGAGTATGATGATGAAAGAGAAAATGCTGTAAAGTTAAGCTCTAGTGCTGGAGATTGTTCAACTTCTTTCTCTTTGGTAAGAATTTCTGAATCTTGCGAATTTTATAATTCCAATTGGCCCAGACATTCTTCAACCTATGCTTCTGATTTTACTTCATCATTGAACTTTTCAGAAATTCCCGAAATTCAAATTATAGTCTTCTTCTTCTTATAGTTTCTTCTTTTTTCCCTTGTTTTAGAACAAGAAGGTTTTGTTTGTAAATATTGTAATATAAAATTATTTACAAATTATTTACAATAATACTTATCCTTCCTGTGAATAGAGAAGAAATATATCCAAAGAAGGAAAATTATTACTCTACTATAACTCCTATGAGGAAATAATTGTCTAATCTTTTGATGAAATTTTTGTTTGGCACTTGAAGAATTTAATGGATATGAAAACCGTTCTGCCTTTGGAACTGTTCTAATCATCCATTTTTCTCTGGTTAAAGCATCTGGGAGACAATAATCCTTGCCAGGAACTCTTTTGATTGTAAAATTGTATTGGGAAAGTAAAAAATTGCCACCACCCATTCCTTTGTAGTTTTGCGCTGTTGATCAATTTTTTGTTCATCAGACTTGCCAGATTTACTGAATCAGTTCTCAATATATACTGCTCTCCTATTAGATAATTATGGAATTTTCTCAATCCCCTTACTGCTGCTAAAATTTTATTTTATGCAGGCCAACAGTTTATATCAAGTTTTTTAAATTGGCTGCTTGTATAGGCACCAAACTTTGGGCAAATAATTTTAATATCTTTACCTCCTTGGTAGCATCTTCATCCCATTTAAAGGGTTCTCTGCTCATGCATTACCGAATGTGTTAGGTTTTTTCTGAAAGGGATGGAATATAGTCCTGAAGATAGTTTACATAACCCAAAAATCCATGGCATTGCAATTTGTCCCATAGGTAGTCTGGGACTTCTCTCTTTTGAAGGACATGAGGTTGCATAGTAATTTTCCTTCCGATAAATGTATTCCAAGAAAATTGACTGAATTTGTAGCCACTTGAAATTTGTCTTTGGAGGAGGAAAGACCAATACCGTGGTCGTGTACAAGCTGAGCAAAAATCTTTAAATGTTGTATATGATCCTCCACATTATTAAAAAAACCCAAAAAGTCATCTGTATAGTTTGCAATGAAATTTACATATGGTTTGAAGATGGAAACCATCCTTATCTGGAACTGAGGGAGCATTCTTCAGCCCAAATGGCATTACGAGCCATTAAAATAGGCCATCAGGGGTAGAAAAGGTTGTTTTATGAATATCTTCTTCTGAAATCTTGATCTGATGGTACCATGTTTTGCAATCAAATTTTGAATTTTTTTTCTTTTTGGCTACCCTTCCATAAATGCTTTTTTATTAGGCAGTGTCCATGTGATGTCTATTGTGACATTAGTAAGATGGATATAATTTATCACCATTCTGCCTTTCCGTCGTTTCTCCTGACTATGATGCCTGACTATGAATAATTAGATTCTGATGGCCTTATGAGTCCCTTTTCTACCAGTTCATTTACTTGATTTTTCAATTTCGCCTCATCCTCTTTATTCATTCTAATGGGCTTACTTTGAACTAGATTCTTATATATCGTTGGGATATGAGCCATAGGAGAATCCTTGTCCCATTTGTCTAAGGGGTGTTTGACACAACCATTCTTCAATCTCCAGTTATGTGTTTTACAGTATTCAATTGTGACCTAGCTTCTAAAGACATCCCTTTAATTTTTGTGATTGACTCATATTTTTCTTGTTCCCTTTCAAACTGTATCTTATTTGTCATGATTTTTGTAAGAGAAGGATTTTTTTTGGATTTTGTTGGTTCTCATTATGAAAGATGGTAAAATCCTGGGCACTATATGCTTTTCTTCTTCAGTAGTAAAAATACAACATATTTTCTGAAATTGTATATGGCCTCATTTCATCTAGAGTCACAATATATTTTTATTCTATATCCAAAAATAGTTCAACTTTATTCCAATTATTATTTACATCCACAACCACTTTTACTTGAATGAAAAGGACATTTTGAGCCTTCACAAATTCTTTTATCCGATAAACTTGCTCTTTCCGCAAAGAGGTTGTCGCAGGTTTATCACAAAAAATTTGAAAATCTCTTTTATAATTGCTTTGAGAATTCTATTTTATTTCATCGATTTTCGATTGACCTTAAACTTTCCCTTAATCCATCCCATACCCGAGTTGTGTTAGGTAGGCAACCATCCTAAAATTTTGTCAAAACTTATCATGAATCCTGAATCGACAATATCTGCTTATGCTAGGGCGTTCCCTAGAAGCGACACGCTGTATTGGAACCCGGATACTATGAGAAATGAAGAAGGGATAGCTAGGGTGTTCCCCAGAAGCGACATGCTGTACCCGACCCCAGGTACAGTGAGATATGAGCAAGGGTTAGCTTGTGTGTTCCTCAGAAGCGACACGCCTCAGCGCTGCCTGGTTGCGGTGGAAAAGAAGCTAGTTCAAGAGAATAAGATTTGTCTAGCCACATGGAATGTAGGAACGCTTACAGATAAGAGTACAAAGTTAGTGGATACAATGAGACGAAGGAGAGTAAACATAGTTTGTTTACAAGAAACTAAATGGAAAGGAGAAAAGCTAAAGAAATAGATGGGTATAAACTTTGGTATACAAGAAAGGATATAATAGAAATGGTGTAGGCATAATAGTAGACAAAGATTTAAAAGATAAAGTAAATAATGTCAAGAGGCTCTTATTAATTAAACTTGTATTATGGAAAAAGATTACTAACGTAATTAGTGCTTATGTACAAGTAGGATTAGATGATAGAATTAAACAAAGATTTAAAAGATAAAGTAATTAATGTCAAAAGGCTCTTATTAATTAAACTTGTATTAGGGAAAAAGATAATTAACGTAATTAGTGCTTATATACAAGTAGGATTAGATGATAGAATTAAAAGACAATTTTGGGAGGACATAGATGGAATAGTCCAAGACATACCAAATGGAGAGAAGACCTGTTTAGGAGGGGGCTTAAATGGTTATGTAGGGGAGGATAGTAGAGGATGTGAAGAAGTACATGGGAGAGATGGGTTTGGGGAGAGAAATGAGATGTATGAGACTATTCTAGATTTTGATATGGCTAATGACCTAGCAATAACAAACACTTTAAAAAGCAAATATTTAATAACCTATAAAAGTGGATCACGTAAAAGCCTGATAGACCTCTTCCTAGTTAAGAAAGTAAATCGACCATTATATAAAGACTTCAAGGTTATCTCAGGAGAGAGTTTGACTATCCAACATATGCTCATGGTTATGGACGTCTGCATAAAGACATGGAAGAGAAGGGGTGAAGTAATGGGTATCCAAGAGCTAGGTGGTGGAATTTAAAAAATGAGAACATAGACTTATTTAGGGATGAATTAGTTGAAGAAAGAAAATGGAACTCTGAACATGATGTCAATGTAATATGGAATGAGATAGTTGACTGTATCAAGAAGTGGCAAAAGAGATTTTAGGAGAATCTAGAGGGAAAAAGAACTTCGATAAGGAAACTTGGTGGTGGAGTGATGAGGTTCAAACGGTCATTAGCGAAAAACGATCATATTATAAAGCTTGGCAGTGTAAATAGAAATGATTAAAACTTAAATAATATAAACACATGAAGAAAAATGCTAAACAAATAGTAAGTAAAGCTAAACTTAAGGCATATGATAATCTATATAATAAACTGGGAATAAGAGAAGGTGGAAAAAATGTCTTCATATTATCAAAAATAAGAGAGAAAAAATGTAGGGATCTAAACCATATTAAATGCATTAAGAGTGAAGATTAAAAGCTCTTGGTGAAGGATCTCGAGGTCAATGAAACGTGGAGAGTGTATTTTTAAAAATTATTAAATGACGAGACAATGGGAACATAGCTGTAGAAGGAACTGTTGATACAAATAAGGGTGGAGGTCATAGATTCATTCGTATGATTAGGATGTTGGAAGTGAAATAAGCTTTGAAAAGGATGAAGATAGAAAAGGCTTTAGGACTAGATGTATCCCAATAGAAGTTTGGAAGTGCATAGGGGTCATTGGCATTTACTGGTTGACAAAACTATTCAACAAGGTGTTGCGAACAAAGAAAATGCCAGATGAATGGAGAAAAAGTATTGTGGTACCTATTTACAAGAACAAATGAGACATACAGAAATGTGTGAACTATCGAGGGATCAAGTTTATGAACCATATTATGAAGCTCTGGGAGAGAGTGGTCGAGCAATGACTAAAGCATGAAACGAGTGTATCTGAAAATCAATTTGGTTTTATGCCGGGAAAGTCAGCAATGGAGGCTATTTTCCTACTTAGGCAACTGATTGAGAAGTTTAGTGCGAAAGGAAAAGTCCTCCACATGATCTTTATTGTTCTAGAGAAAGCTTATGATAGAGTACCTCGTGATTTGATTTGGCGGGTGTTGGAAAAGAAATGAGTCTCCAAACGCTATATCGACTTGGTAAGAGATATGTATGATGGAGCGCTAACTAGTGGATAAACCAGTGAGTTTTCAGTGACAATAGGTCTGCATCAAGGGTCAGCATTAAGCCTGAACCTCTTTGTTCTAATTATGGATGATTTAAGTAGGCAACAACAGGATGAGGTATCATGCTGCATGTTGTTCATAGATAACATAATTCTGATTGATGAGACCCGAAACAACGTTAACACAAAGTTTGAACTTTGGAGGGATGCCCTGGAATCCAAATTTTTTAAAATTAGTCGGACTAAGACGGAGTATATGGAATGCAAGTTTAGTAATAATAGGAGTATAGACGAGGAAGTACTTAAGATTGATGGCCAAGAAGCAGAAAAAGGACCGTACTTTCGATATGGGTTGATAATCCAGGAAAATGGAGCGATTGAGGAAGATGTCACACCCAGAATTTGAGCTGGGTGGGCGAAGTGGAGATGTTCAACTGGAATTTTATGTGATCGCCGCATACCAATGAAGCTGAAAGGTAAGTTCTATAAGACAACTGTGAGACCAGCTTTGCTCTATGGGGCGAAATGCTGAGCGAACAAAAACACTATACCATTAAAATGAGTGTAGCGGAGATGAGGATGTTAAGATAGATGAGCGGCAAGACAAGAAGGGTTAGAATTTGAAATGAATCCATTCAAGAGAATTTAGGAGGGCACCAATAGGCGATAAGATGAGAGAGAGTAGACTTAGGTGGGCTGGTCATGTGTGGCGCCAACCAAGTACAACACCTGTTAGGAGGTTGGAGTTAGTTCAAGTGGAAGGACTGAAAAGGGTAGGCCCAAAAGGGCATGGTTAGAAGTAGTCTGAAAAGATATAGGGACTTATGGCCTCACTGAGGGTATGATCTTTAATAGAGTAGAATGACAGATCAGGATTCGTGTAGCCGACCCCAATTAATTGGAAAAAGGCTATGATGATGATGATGACAGAGAATATAAGCAATTCATCAACCAAAGTAGAGAGGAAGAACTCGCACCTTCATCTATTATTTGATTAGAACAAGAAGAATCTTCACATTTTTCTTCACCTCTATCTTCTTGTACTCCTCCCTGTATCATTCTGATGGATGGCATAACATCTGCTTCTGCTATTTGGTCATCGCACCATTCTGCATCCAACAACATTTGTAATAAAGAAAATCTATTTTCTTCTGCTTCATTTTCATAGAAAACTGGGGGGTTCTTCAGGGTCAAAATCTTTAGTGAGAAGTTCTTTATTTATCCTGGAATCCTCAGGTTTTTTCGGAAGGAAGAAATTTTTTGTAATACTCATTTTCTTCTTTTAGAACCTTCATAAAAGTGGGAATGACAAAGCCATCTGTTAGGGTAAGTTGTAACTAAAAAACTGATCTTTTGAGTAGCTATAGAAAACGGTTCCTCAATTTTGGACCTCTAAAAGTATACGCTGTGTTTGACTTCCACTAATCATGACACTTTCATAGCCTAAATTTAAAAACTTTACGGACACTCGGAGTCATAATTTTGATTGAATCAACCTTAGTGTCCTTCTTAGTGTCTATAGGTAAGAGGGGGAGAATATGTACAACTTGATGCTGCTTGTGTTTGTCTTGCCAATATCTTTCAGTATTTCATTTCAAAAGAAGAAATAAAAAACTTTTTGTTGGCGTCTCGTTTATATCACCTTTTTGCTTTTCCCTGAATTTCTGTGGACCATTAACCGAGAAAATGCATAATGATCTTGTTTTTTTGAACAGTTACGAAGCCAGGCTCTTGCTTCCTTACACAGTGGGCTGCAGAGCAATCAAGGAATCCCTGTCGCTCAGGTTGTGAAATGGCTAGGCATGGAGGTGAGTAAAAGAAAGACTAATGTGATCTTGCTGGGAAATATTTTTTTATTTTTTTCATCTTTTCACGTTTTTTCTTTTTCTTTTCTTTAGGCAAAGATCACTTACAAGCAGTCTTATTACAATAACTCTTGCTTCAAAGAAAATAAAACTAACAAATTCAAGATCTTAAAACCTTGATGCCATTAAACCAATTTTCTTTAGACATATCCACAATTCTTTTGCTTGGGAATATAAAGATAATATAATTAAATATAGCAAGAAACAAAAAGAAAGTGCTGGAGATTACCTCAACTGGGCTTAGTAAACCCTACATCGAGTCTCCTCCTTCTGATGGTGCTCAAGATCTATGATCGGTCTCTTGATACTCCTACATATGGTAAAAGAAAGACTAATGTGATCTCAGTGACATATGGATCTCGATCTAAAACCAACTATCTAAGGCCTCAATGCCTTAGTCTTGCTCAAGCCCCTTTGGCTTGATCTTTTGAGAGATGAGAGATAGATCAAAGAGAGAGAGAGAGATCTATTAGCAAGGGGATCCTCCTTTTTGCTATCCAAAAATCAAACCACTAGAAGCTAACCTTAGCTTGGGCGTACTATCTAGAAAACTTATGCGTGCCCCCTTAGAAAAACTCAGGAGAGATAGATGTAGAAAACTTGGGTGTGCCCCTTTAGAAAAACTTAGGAGAGATAAATGATAAAACTTGGGGCGTGCCTCCCCTTTGGTAATCCAGAGAGAGAACTAAATTTAAGTAAGGGGAGAGAATTCTTAAAGAGAGAGGAGAGAATACATATGTAATTTTATGAAGGGGGAGACCTTATTTTATAGATTTTCTATGCCTTGGGATTTGCCTCAATTCGTAGGGTTAAATCTTGACCGTCGATCTAAGGAGACTTGTGGGATGAGAGATTTGAGCCATCTATCTCTTTGATATTTAAAACGGCTATTTATGTACATGCCTTGTGATGATATAACGATAATATTTTATCCCTGTCTCTAAAGGCTATTCATCACACGCAAGGGTCACACAGTCCCTTGGCTCGCATCAAGGGCTAACCCACTAAACTCTTCTCAGTAGATACCTATACCCAAGTACCTTGGATTTTTCCAACTCGGCTGCCCTAGCACGTCGAGCCTAGTCCGAGTATCGGCAAATCGCATTTGCCTAGTATGGTCCACAAGAGGATCACACTCCCACTGAGTTTATGTTTCACTATATAAAATTCTCATTCAAGCTCTCATAAGGCCTTTAAAGGCCACATAAACCCAACAGTGAGTCCCTCCAGGTAATCTTATATGGGCTTTTGTATGTTTATTGAAATTGACTGAGTCCTTACCTGGCCTATTCTTTTTTTACTCTCAGGGGGAAGATATTGAAAGCCTTTTGCAGTATCATGGGTTTTTAATTAAACACTTTGAAGATTCCTACATGGTGAAGGAAGGCCCCTTTCTTAATGCTGACAGGGATTACGTGACCAAGTGCTCACGGCTTGTTCACCTTAAAAAGTCAGCCAAAGTTGTTGATGATGTTGTTTCCGATCAGGTTATAGAGCTAGAGAGGACTTGCCCTTGTTCTTCATTTTATATATTTTTTTCAGAAGTGTCCTCTGTAATTTTAATTTTTTTTGCATTATTCATTTCCTCCAATAGGGTTATGTGGTCCAGTTTTACCTTTGCTCAAGTCTGATGGTGAACTTTTCTTGATTATATATCTTTTACAGCAGGTGACACACATGCAAGTTGAGAAAAGGACAGGCGATGTCATGGAGAAGCCTGACAAGAAAATTGGACATTTGATAAAATCTAAGTGGGTTGATTCAGCGGATGAAGGAATGCATGATAGTGATGCTGGCATTTTTCACAAATACAATCAGCATTCCTCGATGTTTAAAGCACCATTACTGGTTAATAGTTCACCAGTGCCAATCAATAGTGAATTCATAGCCGATACATATATGGTGGAGTCACCCCAATTTGCCTCAGATCAAGATGGGTCCCAGCTTGTGGCCATGGAAATTACAAAAGAGTGCCAATTAACTGAAGATGATAACTTAATGGATCAGTCAATGGGACATAAGTATCTCCCTGAAGTAGATGAGGCTCCAGAGTTTGGCACTTCAAAGGTCATGGAAATCAAGAATACCAATGAAGAACCAGCTAGGTCAATGGCATTGATGGAGCATGTTGACAATGAGGTTGAAATGGTTAATCAGAAAGCTGAAGCTGACAATGCAAGACTAAAACTTATCATAAGGTTCTGAACTTTGTGAATCTAATTTACGCATTAGTTTCTTTCAGTGATCTAATTTAATCCGAAGTTTGCTCAGTGTTATTATAGCTGACCCCCTTTCTTTGTTTTTCACTGTCCAGAATATGGAAACAGTGTTCTAAAAAGCGTAGAGAGGCCCGAGAGCAGCATCAGTTGATGTCAAATGCTGCACTGAGTTCCCTGTCATTGGGACCACCAATTCGACCAAATAAAGCGGTACTTGGTTTTTCTTTTTCTCTTTTATCTCTTACGTAACCAATAAGGTGCTTGTTAATCATCAGAGGAAAAAGAAGCATTACTTGTTGAACCTGCTTCTGCTATTTCACCTTCTTTTGCTTCAATATTTGCCAGTCTTGTATTTTCTGGGAGCAGTTTTAACAATGTGGTTTTTTCTGAACCTGCTTCTTGTTTTTCAATTTCCTTTGCTTCAGTATTTATAGGTTTTCTGCACTTTTAAATATTCTGGCAAATTTCTACTGAATTTCAGATTCTGAGAACCAAACCTGTGACTATTACACCCTAGATTTCATTAGAACTCAAATCAAGTTTCTGCCCAACTTGGCCAATTGTCTGGTTGATGCAGTTTTTAAGTCAGTTTTCTGGTTTATTAGTCTCATTTTAATTCCCCTCATGCAGGAAACAAAACCTGTGGATGAACTTAACATCGACTACGTCACGAAAGAGAGATACTACAGACATGAGAAGTCATGGTCGAGGCTAAACGTTTCCGAAGTGGTTGTACCAGTACTTAAGGAGAGAAACCCAGATGCTAAATGCCTTTGTTGGAAACTGATATTGTGCTCTCAGGGGGAAATTCCAAATGGGCAGGGCTTGGGACACCGTAAGAATGCCAGTTGGATGGTTGGGTCATGGTTGCATGCCAAGCTTCTGGGTCATGGAAATGAAGATGAAAAAAATGATTTACTTGTTTCTTCTCCTGGTTTGTCAATTTGGAGGAAATGGGTGGTGAACCCAATAGATCGCAATCATATTTGTTGCCTATCTGTTGTGAAGGAAGTGAGTTTCGACAATACTGGTCCAGCTAAATTTAGCGAAGCAGTTGCGGGTGGAAGTGGGATTTTGTTCTTATTATCTGACTGCAACCGATGCGACCTTGAAAGAGCGAGACTTCATAAGCTCGTTATGTCATTGCCCTCTGGTTCTCGTCTCCCCCTACTCATCGCAGCCAGCACCATGGGTGAATATGAGGTTCTTGATCCTTATGCCATGATCACAAACAGATTGGAGCTTGGTAATTTGGATCAGACTAGGATAAATAGCTTCTCAATTATTTTCCTCGATAAAGCTCAGGGGATTGATGGGTTTTTCAGTGATGCCAATCTTAGAGAGGGACTTCAGTGGCTCGCTAACTTGTCTCCTCAACAACCAATCCTTCGACGGTTGAAAACCCACGACCTGGTTTTGAGTTACTTGAGTTCTTCCATGGAGATTCTCAAGAAAACTAACTTTTATGAAGTTAGTCCAGACCAGTGCATCAATGCCTTCAATGATGCTTTGGAAAAATCAGTAGATGAAATAATTGTGGCTTCACAGTGTAGTACCACTGGTTGGCCATGTCCTGAAGTTGATTTGCTTCAGGAATGTAGCAGGGAAGGTAGAATCGTAAGCTTGTATCTACCAAGAATAGGCTGGAATTCTGCTGAGAAAATTGAACCTATCTTAGTTAACCTTAAGGCCTGCAAGCTTCCATTTTTTAGCACGCGGCAAATCTGGTATAATGAGTTTTTCAAGGGCAATTTTGCTGAAATTGAGGAAAAGAAATCAGTTCTCGAGAAATGCTTGAAGTGGTATCTTAACCATGGAAGCGGGATTATGGGGGAGGAAATGGCAGAAAGAGAGGCTGGGTTGATGGTGCAGAGATGTGCTTATCTAGTGAGAGAAAGACTAACATATCAGATAGTTCCCAGATGGCCAGTAATTTTTCGCCGAATTTTCAATTGGAGGCTATTGAATCTGACCAATGGAAGGTCATCAGCCATTTATATTTTGGAGCATCGGTTTAGGCCCATTTTGGAAGGAGATATGTCAATAGACTGGGCTCCTACTGAATTATCTTTTGATGAAATGTTAGAAGCAGGATGTGGGATTTTGGGATTTTTGGAAACTACTAACCAAGGGAATGGACTTATTGAGCCTGCTAGAGGAGGAGAAGGTGATTGGTTAAGATTTCAAGGCCACTTGTTGCAGAGTAGTGAGGAATTTAGAAATAATGAGATGTCACTAAGAAGTGAGAACCTTAGAAGTGAAGAGATATTGACAGAAGACGGTATTCTAACGAGTGATGTGTTTGATGAAAATGCCAGTGAGAATGAGAAAAGGAGGATAGTCGGATGGGAAGAGGATGATAAGCTTAACAGATTGCTAGAACAGTGTGACATCGTGCAAAGCAAGATAGATGAGAAGCTTGCCATATTCTTCTGAGAATGGCTCTCTCTCTCTCTCTAGAAATTTATGTTTTGCATTAACCCAAAAAAAAAAGAGATTAAATGTTGTGCCGGGGATGATAGTCAAGGACCTAGCCTTCTACTTCAGAGATGGCATTGTGACCCAAGCGAAGTGAAGTTTTGTAGCCTTCTACTTCAGAGATGGCAATATTGTGACCCAAGAGAAGTGAAGTTTTGTACCTTGTTTGAGATCTGTTGTATCATAATGAAGCATAACCTTTTACCCAGATCTCTCTGTCTCTCTCTCAGAGTACACACACCTCTAATGTAACAGAAGATCAAGATAAAAAGAACAAGAACATGATAAGCCCAAGAACTATGAACTATCGGGTTACAAATGGTTCGCACCCATATGATACATGAAATTGTAAGCTGAATTCTTTGAAGACTATGACTGCCAAAGGGGACGGGAACATAATAAAGAAACGCAAGGCCAGAGATCCCTCAAACCTTTTTTAGCATTCTCATATTATTTGGATTTTCTGATATTTCCCATTTGTGGATCATAACAGCTATTGTAAGTGATTAAACATCCAACCATAAAGAGAGATGACTATTTTTTTCTACAAAATTCATTTTCCTTAAAAGAATATTTGCAAATAATTCTTGTCAGATCACAGTCGCCCAAAATCATATTTACAATGAATTACAGTGGGATGAATTATAGTGTGCAAGGGACCACCTCCATCTGGCTGCTCCATTGAACCTTTGGAGACCACAGCTATATGGATTAGTAGGAATAGCATTTCATTATGGCATCAAATATTCTTGGACATGCAAAGGGGATCCTTAGAACTTCATCAAGGAGATGCCAAGTCTCACTGGCCATGTTTAAACGCAAGAAGCCTGCAACTCATACATGAGTAGAAGAGAGATTCTCTTCAAGCAGATTCACGGTGACATGGATTGCTATACGAACCATGCCCAACATCTTTCTCTGATGCCCTGTTGTCCCACCATCTGATATTAATCAATAAAATGCTAAAGTCATACACACACGCTCTCTCTCTCTCTACAGACATGCACACACGCACAAAGAAAAAGAGAAATACACACATTCAAACATCAATTTATGGGGAGTAAACCATTATCCATATTAAGAACGACAGCTATTGGGGATTGCCTCGAAGTACATGTGGCTCTATCTCTTTAACTGCAATGTGAAGCAGAAGAACGATGTAGATACTTGCAGAAGAAATGTATTTCATAGTAAAAATACTCAGAAAAGAACTTACAACATGATGGTGCTACATTGTTATGGGACATGACCGATTAGATTCTCCCAGTTTTGCCACCCGCATATTTTGTATGCTTGTTCCAACAGCTACAACTGACTGGTGAATCTCAAGAAAGCTGCAACAGTTATTAATAATCTTTGAGAGTGATATCATGACTTAATTACTCCCTTGAAGTTATCTATTGAATACCTATAGAAAATGAATATAAACATCGAGATGACTTTTTGTTTTCCAATGGGTGGTTGGTTATCTCATATCATACACTGCACAGGCCATCGACATGCACTATGATGACCGTTATATCATCTGTTCGATTCTCATGCTCTAACCATAACTTGTATGATTCTGCAACAATAGCAGAACAGGCATCGCGAGGATCTTTATATTTGGCCACCTGCATACACAAAGTTAGAATGCATCAGACGACAGATCAATGAAATTACCTATAGAGGAGGTGGCTAGTCCCACTTAGTAACACCATTGAGAACGGGCACACAAAAAAAATTAAAACATTAACAGGATGCATCGCTAATCTACTAAAAACCAATTAAAAAATTTGGAAAAAATAAAAAATCTTACAGAAACCCATTTCCCATTTCTTTCTTCTTTTTTTTTTTGTGTAATTCAGTGGGGAAGACAGGCCCATTTCTTTCTTTCTTGCTACTTGCTAGGTTAAGAAACCTATTTCAGGGAATACTAGAAGCCAATTGTCAGCACACTCAAAATGGGCTTATAGCTATCTAGATACTCATGTCCTGCAGTTTTCGACACGAATTGCCATTTGACACCGAATACAATGTTCAAAATACGTGCAAAATCTGCACTGATGTCGTAACCAGACCCAAGCAGCATGCACTACATATATGCCCTAATAGTTTTCTCTCTATCAATTCGGATATAGTTTATTCTGTTACCCATTCTTTCCTTCCAATGCTGTCATACCATAAAACACGCCCATCTATTCTTCCTAACCTAAATCAGTACGTGGTACCAGCACCTTTCCACTATGGTCCCACCTATAATGCTAAACTTTATTGCTCTTTCAGTCTTCTGACACATTTCACGCGCCTACAATATTTGAAACCCCTCGTCTCAAACAAATTAGTAGAGCCATCCTTTCAAGGGAGTTCAATCCTTATGTTTTTTCTGGCATGCTCTGTCTGTCCTTCAATTTGAACACGTTAATAGGGAAATTCCTCCTCATGCAGGGGCTAAAAATATGTTTTTTCTGGCATGCTCTGTCTGTCCTTCAATTTGAACACGTTGATAGGGAAATTCCTCCTCATGCAGGGGCCAAAAATAAAGAGAAAAATTGTAGTTAGGCTCAAACTGTTTAGTGCTTCAGATCTCATGCGTTTTAAGATTTCTTATTAGCTTTGTACTTCTATGTCCTCTTATTAATTTAATATTTAATTAACATACTGTTGAGTGTCGATAATTCATGAAATCAATTATCAAATTCCCAAAGCACCCTATGTGTTTTGTCAAACCTTTCCATTTAAGCTTAAAGGGAGAGTGAGAAGCATGCAGGTCATTCTTAATGAACAGAAAGTCATATCATATAAAAGTTTCTCTTTCTTTCATCTTACAAAGCCCAGTCAAGATAGGTGATTGAGCTGCTGTTTCAGACTTGATTCAGCAACAAACCATTTTAATAGCTTCCAATTTTCCCAACTTTCTAAATTAACAACATAAGGACATCTTTCAAATAAGTAGCCTAACGGAATGAAGTTTCTAAGAATTGCCCCAAAATAATAGCAAAAGAAATAAATGGTCAGTTAAACGACGCAAGTAACACCGTCAATGATATTTAAGAACTAAAAAAGTTTAAAGAATTCTCAATGTTTGCCAAGACAAAAGAATCTACTGATACCATGATGTCAACCAACCAAAGAATAAATGAACAAATGAATCTCAGGACATCATTAGAATCATATTCTTGTTCTTCCTTCATCGGTAACCCAATGAATTGGATATTTAAACAAATTCCTATGTGTTTTTCTCCTGTATTCTGGAAGACCAAGAGAAAGGACTAGGTCCAAGAAAAGAACTGACCCTGTTTCTTTGTCTCTTAACATGCAAAAGAAAAGAAAAAGCTCATTGGTTTTCTTATTACCAGCGAAATGCCAAAATATGATCACTGAAAATCTTGCTTTTCTTCTATTAATCAAAAGCCAGTAGTGGAAACATGACATTCAGTTCAAACAAAATATGAGGTTTCTCTAAAATCTTGAAAAAGAAAAAAAGTAAAGAAAAAGGAACCTGGTTTCCTTATTTCCTTTTCCTAGTGTCTAGAGAAAGCGGTCAAATTTGCTTCATCCTTTCAGAAACTTATATTCTCTTTCATGTGACAACTAAAGCTATGGTCAGAATTAAGATCAGTGAGATTCTTATCACTCTCTCCCAGCTAAACAACATCGAAAAAAGCAAATATCCAAAAATGTTTTCTTTATTCTTTTCCTTTTGTATAATTTAGAGACTACTGGAGAACCAATTCAGGTTCAGAAGAATTGCGAATAATATCTTTATAGACAAGAGATTCATTGTGGGCCTCCGCTGGAATTAATGGCATCATTCATCTTATAGCATGTACAGGTTGGAGCATCATTTCAAAACTCTCTTACAACTCAATAACCAAAACAATAAGCAAAGGAAATTTGAGTTGCGCTTACCATATCAATGACTGCTTGGCTAGAGAGAAACTCGAAAACCCCATCACTTGCAATCACAAAGAACAGATGGTTGGGTGTCAGCTGAACCTTCAAAATCTCAGGTTCAGCAATCACCCCAATCTTCTCAGCAACGCTATCCCCAACACTCCGGGTAAATGCAGTTCCAGGATACATCACATTAGGCATCCAAAGTCTCGGTGGATCCCCATCACCATTCTCTTCATTTCCCCAGTCTTGAATTTTGGGGTCCTTTAACCCCTCCAATTGATCAACACTCAATACTCTAGCCCCACAACTCTTCACCCTTTCACACTCATCCTTACGGTATGGGGTTTGATCCTTCGAAAGATCTTCAGCCAAGATTGAATTCCCACCCTTAAGTGCAATCACAGCCCTTGAATCCCCCACATTTGCCACAAAAAGAGTGTTCCCATGAACAAGAACAGTAATGGCAGTTGTACCACTCATACTATCATCTATATCAGTGAAGCTATGAAGCTCAGAATTAGCCGCTAAGAATGCAGAGGTTAGGGCCTCATCAGGTTCATCAGAGAAATTTGGGTCGTTAATTAGGAGATCAAATAGTCTACGCTTGACAAAATTCGAACACTCTGTGCCAAAATGGCCATGACCATCAAAGACCCCAAAGAAATGGAGATTTGAGTTACCTTTGATTTGGGTTTCTATAATGAAACTGTCTTGGTTTTCTTTATCCGGTGCATCTGGGTAGTAGCCTCTTTGCGCTGAGAAGGAGTATCTAAGAGTGTAATTGTGAGAAGGGACATGGGCTAGTTCTACTGAGCTTCCTGTAAGCATGTGAAGGCTATCACCACCATGATGGTTTCTAGCATTGGCTTCTGAAACTGAGCTATCTCTGGGTTCTTTACCCTGAGAGGAAGGTTCGTATTGTTTGCAACAGCTTCCATGGACACAACCCATTTCTCAATAGTGGCAAATTTTGCAGGGAAATGATGGTTATGACTCGTTGGGTTAGCAAGGGAGAAAGTCTTAGAATACCCAAACTCAATCTATACACTTCCAAACCAAAGAATTTGCAATGGCAGTGACCCGTTCACGTTCAGGGCTCTGAGGCTATGAAGGAAGAAGCTTTCAGGGGCAATGATCGTGTGAAACCAATGGCCTTCTGAGCTTTTGAGAAAGAAACAGAACATTTGCAGGAAATGGCTCCTAATCTAATGTTTTTGTGAGAATCAAAGAAAGGAAGTTGGCGTTTAGTGATCCAAGAGACTGAAGTTCTCTCAAGATTGGGAAAGATTTTGTAGGTATTGACCCAGAAGACTGATGTTTTCTAAAGAATGGGAAATGGCCATGAAAACTTGGGGGCGAATGAGCTAGAAAATCAAGATCTTTGTTGGGTAATGACCAGAAAGGGTTATTTATTAAAGTGCAACATAATCTACTTATCGGCAAATGATCCTTTAAAAATGTTGGGGGCTTGTGAGCTCAGAAAACAAGAAATTTCCAGGGTGGTGGCCCTAAAAACAGAATTATGAAAGCCTCCAAAGAAGGTGATTTCTACCCAAGAAACCCTGAAAATTAAGGGCCTTGTGGGCTTGAAAACAATTACATCTTTAATGCAATGAGCCTTAAAATGACGGCTTCGTATGCTTAAAACCAAGAAAAGAAATGCAATAAATTTACTACAAAGAATTGGGTTTGGTGCAATTAACCCCTCCGTGTTTGGAAGTGACAAACTAAGAATTGACAGGAAATGACCCAACAAAGGAAACCTCCGTAAAATTGAAAAGCCTTTTAGAAGAATGACCCTAAAAACTGTGGGCTTTTTGGATTTGAATCCCGACAAACATGGGGCACCATGATCCTATAAAATTCAGGCCCTAATGAACTCAAACAAAAATCTAGAAATAAAACCAACGGATCCCCAAATCTCAGGATTGAACCCAAACAAACTTGTGGGCAAAGACCCTTAAATTAAGGAGACCCTCAGCACAAAACAAAAAATTTCTCGCACTACAAAACAAGGACCAGAAAGAACCAATGGTCATGAACATAGAAACCAAGAAATTTCAAGTGAAAGGACCCTTAATACTTAAAGGGCCTAACAATCAGGGAAATTGCAGGTGCAGAAGGAAGGTCCTCACTGAATTAGCCTTTGGGAAGAAAACCCAAGTTCTCTTTTGAGGCACTTTATCCCTCCATCTGTGAAAGGCCTATGACCCTATAAACAAGGAGGCTACATGACCCAAAAAGAGCAGAGGGCTAATATTTCCACCTGGAAAGTACAGATTTTCATGAAGATTTTGGGGTGTTTTTTGATCATGGAAATGCACAGTTTTTTTAGCAGCTTTTCAGAGACCCCATGTTTTTGGGGGCCTCGAAAATTTCCTTTTTAAAGGCAGTGGCAGGTCCCTAAGAGATGGAAATAGGCCGTACAAAGAGCAAGGGCAATCTACAACGGTGAGATGCAGTTTTTCTTGTTCATAAAGAAACACGGATCCTTTGCCCTTGAGCAAGGAATTGATGAGAGAGGAAAAGTGGGTCCCTTGGGGAAAGCATGGTTCTAGGTTTCTCATGGGATTGGTGATGTTTTATGGGGTCACAGCCATTAAAATCAAGCAAAAGTTTATACAGAGCCGACGCCCTGGACAGTAAATTTGAGCCTATCTCCAAAATTTCATTAGAAGAGGTTGTTTGGATGCTCAAATATCTTCAAATTGATCATTTTGACATCAAGATGCCTGGACATGAAAAAAAGAATGGATTGTAAGTTTTGTAAGGCATTTTTAGACCATTAATTTTCAAGATTTTCAAGTTTTCATATATATCTTGATCTACATTATTTTTGAACTTTTAAACTTCATAAATAAATATAAAACTATATTTTAAAGCTATCACAAAAATTTTCAATATTAAAACTATATTTCTCGATACTATTTGAAAATAGGCTCTAATTTGATTGTTTGGCGCCTAGGCTCTATACAAACTACACCCTTCAAATTAAGGCCAGGTTGCACTTAAAATTGAGGTAGGTAATAATGAGACCATTACTATTGTATACTCTAAGGCCATAAATCACTTGTCACTGTACGAAATCAAGTGGTTTGAGGTGTGTCATTGATCAAATAATGTCTTAGATATTCAATTTTTTGTGAAAAATAACACACCCCTTTGTTTCGATTTTATATATGATGACTAGATATAATTGTGACTTTTTTGTACCAAAGATCGACATATTTTTTATGTTAATTTCTAAAAATTAAGGTTACTAAAGCCTAGTGTTTTATAACCTGAATTTGAATAATGAATTGGTTACGCCAAACCGATTGTTGAGAAACCGATGGGAATGCCAAACTGATCCGTTAAGAAACCGATGGGAACCGGGCAATTCCAAAGGTCTTTAAACCCATACGGTTTTGAGCAGGCTCGCCGGTTGTTAGATCAAGTCTTAGGCAAAAGTAAGGATTCTAAGGTCATGACTATGAGAGGACTTTCCCAAATCAGACTCACTTTTGGAACGTCTTTAGCACACCCTTGAAACGTAAGCCCAAAATCATCCTCATTTGGTATTGGGGAGGATCGATCAGATTTATCTACATCTCCTAAAAGTAGTATTTCCTGCCATGATTGTTAGTGTTCTCTTTCTCCCTACAAACACACATTATATGTACTAGCTGTGGGTAGTTCAATAATCCATGCATCTCCTTACAATTGGTATTTAACATGTTTATTGGTGCTTTCTCTCTCTCTCTCTCTCTCTCTAGGCACTAGACTTTCCACAAATTTTATAAAAATTTATCACTGGTTCATATAAAAAATTAGGGAAAAATGTGTAACTTTTCTGTCTGTTATTGTATTACCTATCTAAAGTTCTAAACATATATTGGGTATTTATTCTGCTTCGAAATCCAAGAATATTGCATTGCTTTCTTTGGATAAAGAGTTTATGATCCCCAAAACCTGAGGATGGGTCCCATAAATGTGAAGGCTTTCTTTTCACTGCACGAACCTGTGCAAGGGACAAAAGAAAGAAGGGGTCTTTCTTTGTGGCTTTATGTTAGGCCAAAGTATTTTCCGAAAAAGAAAAAACTTTTTTATAGCACTCTCCCATGGAGCACATTGTACACTTGCTCTCTCGGGTAAAAGACTTATTAAGAGTATTTTTCTTACTTAAATTTTGGTGGTTCACTGAGTATTTTCCTCGTAAAAGAAAGATTTTGAGTTTCTAAACACTTAGATTTGACTCTCGAAAACTTTGAATGGTTTCCATTAGATGTATTTTACCCGAGGGAGGGAGCATGTATCAGCAGGAGCATGTAATCTTTTGATATTTCTAAAAGTTCGTTACTGTTGGGAGGTATTTTATTTTTCTCTTGAGATCTTGAGATTCTTGACAACACTTATTGTTATCCAAAAGCTTCTTTGGCATGAAATGAGAAGCTAATGGAATGGATAATATAGTTTTTAACGCACTTGTTTAGCATATGATTGATCCCCTTACATTTAATTGGGTGGTTGATGTCATTTTAAATCTCTTTCCATTTGTCATTAATTTATTCTTAATGCTTACAAAATGGTAAGCAAACAATTTTCCAAAGTTTTAACCCACAAACAGTTGAAAATGACTTTAAACTTTTTCTTTTTAATTTTTTTTAAAATAAATCTCACTAAATGAGACTATAACATTTGTTATAGTATTAAGTTCATCACTTTATCATATTATATTTTTCCAAGTAATTATCTTTGCCTAAGTCAATTGGCAATTACATGGTACTGAAATGCTCATTTTCATTACATATTTCTACTGCACACCCACTAGTTTAGATGGCCGAATTACCAATGTTTGGTTGTTAAGATTATTGCATTGAATAATAAAGCCAGTTTCTTTGGACTTTTTTAACACATAATACACTCTCATTTCTTCCTCAAAAGAGGTGGTACGAATAATAACACAAATACCTGATGAGGTTTGAAAAGGGCTGGGCTAGCCTTGGTCGTATCCTAGCTTTAGTTCCTACAGGGTTGGCCTGAACACAGCCGGGCCCTGATCGGGTGGAAGAGGTGCTGGCCCTTTCAGGGCTGGTCCAAACACCATCCAAGAAAATAAAAGGTTAGGCTCGGTTGAACTGGTCCATCCTTATTGTGGTCTTACCCCAAGGTGGGCCTAGGCATGCGTTTATGTTGCCCCATCCCTTGGGCCACATTTTGTGGCCCATACCCAGATTTTTAGGGCTGGGCCACCCGACCCGACCTATTGCTAACCCTAGTTTGAATGTTTGTGAATGCAAAAGTGAATGCTTCCATGATATTGAACACATTTATTTTATGAAAGAAATCCCTATTCCTTCCTATTCTCTTTAATGAATGATGTCGAACTGTTGGTCTAATTGTCTCGACTGCATATCGATGCCTTGGCCAATACCGTCTAGACTAAAAATTGTCTATAGTTAAAAAATGATCAAAATCAATGTCTGACTGATCTAACCAGTCATATCAGCTTTTTTAAACTTTCGATAAAAATTTGATCCCTAACTACGAGAATACGTGCATTTGCAGCAAAAGGTGGAGATATCTTTTACATCCCAATAAATATGCATGTGTGTGTTAATGAGATACAAAAAGGCATGTGCATATTTAAAGTATCAAAAAGAAAGCGTTTGTCCCTCACATGCATCAAGTTCTTTTCCTTCTCAAAGCACCAAAGCATGCGTGTTTGGGTCTAACTTTTTTTCTATTCACTTTTCCCTTTTAACTTTCTTAATTTTTCCTCCTTTCGTTTCTCATAATTTGTTTGATAATTTTAGAGGCAAGGGATAATGAATTTCATTTTATTCCAAAGCAAAGGAAGCTAAGGCATTATTTTCTTCAAAACCAATAAAGAGTCCAAAAGATATTGTATAACACTACAGGGTTTATTTTTAAAGCTTCTTTTAATAAAGGTACCTCCTTAAAAATTTGTTCAAGCCAAATTAACTTCGTTGAGGGTTGGAAATCCTGAGCTACCAGAGGCATTTTGTTAATTTGACCTATTTCAGTGGCTCGAGCTAAATAATGAAAATAGTCCTAGTTATCTAAGGTTGGGAACGCAAAACTATTAAATGAATAAAATGGTGCTAGTTCTGTATTACTAACCCTAAACTATGAGGGGTATTCTAGTCATCTGATAGTATTGTGTTCCTAATCCTGAACAACCAATTTGTTTTTTTTTTTTTAATTGTGGCTTAAGCCATTTAAGTGGGCCAAATAACTAAAATGCAATGAATCTTAAAAAATAATTTGGAAAAAGTTGAAAATTTTCTTTTTAGGGAGGTATCTTTATGTAGTGAATATTAAAACATGGGCAATTTGGAAGAAATGAACAATTTACTTTTACACAATTTGTTGCTCCAATAGACGATAAGATGGGAGTAGATTTAGGTGGGCTGGCCAGGTACAATACGATGGGGTAGATTTAAGTAAGTTGGCCAAGTAGAACGCAGACCTAGTAAAACACAAGTTAGGAGGTGCGAGTTATTTCAAGTGGAAAGCTAAAAAAAGGCAAGGGGAAGCCCAAACAAATATGGTTGGAAGTAGTAAAAAAATATATGAGACTGATGGCCTCACTGATGGCATGACCCTTGATAGAGCAGTATGGTGGATCATAATTCGTGTAGTCGATCCCAAATAGTTGAATGGGCTATGATGATGTTGATAACTGAAATCTTTTATACTTTTTAATAATTTTGTAAGATAATTTGAGCTCTTCAATAATCTCCATTTTTTATTTCTTTAGCTTATGGGGGTAATTTCTCTTAAAGAAGTTCGTTGTACGAACACAATTCAGGTCATAATACATAATGAACGTCTTCCGGCTGGATAACACGGCTGTTACAAAGGTAACGACTGTACTCATACGTTATATAAAGGCGGTAGCAAAGGTGCTTTTGGAGAAAGCAGTACCATTTGTTCAATAAAATAGCTGTTATATAATTAAGTAGGACAAGCAATGTCGGATTACTACATTTTATATAAGGTTGCAACGCACCTCAAAAATCTAATAGAAAAGAGTGTTAAAGTTTGAAAACTTTTCAAATGATTATCTCGACATTGAGATATATGGCATACATAAAAAGAAAAATTTTACTTCTTAAAAATAGTTCATCATATAACAAGTTATCTGGACCGTCTATTTTTAAGAATTTGAAGCTTTCATAGATCTGCTCAATTTGCATCATTTTTTAAAATTAAAAATTTAAAATTCGTGTTGAACATAGATTTTCAAGTTATCATAAGGTTTTTGACACCATTCCATCTTTCGGCAAAATTTAGAGATGCGTCTTACTTGTATAGTTTAAGATGGAATCCTTTTACACACCTCACCAACGAAAAAATGCCACAAAACTAGTCATGGCTAATATTTTTTAATAACTCAAAATAAACTCCCTCTTTTTCAAAAAATGAAAATGTCAATTTTCTCCGGGAAAAAAAAAAGTATTTCGTAAGGCCGCGAATGTATACAACCGCATTTCAAAACTTGTTTCCACATTTGGCGCCATGAACTATGCAAAGGGAAAAGTTTATATAGAGCCTAGGCTCTAAACAATCAAATTAGAGCCTAACTCAAAACTTTCAGTAGAAGATGTTGTTT